CCATTCAGAGGGGGCTTAGGGGGTTTGGGGACATCGCTGGGGCATGTTTGCTGTGAGGCTCAGTTGCAGTCCCAAAGTATTCTAGTATGAGAATTTTATCTTATTTTCAGTAACTGATACTAGGTGGGCACATTTTCATTACTATGAAAACTTAAATCCTCATTACCACAAAGTGCTAAGTCCACACAACTCCTGCTACCTTGGACTGTCTGATTTTGGTGCAAACTAGTAGGGATAGAAGGATAAAAGGAAACTCCTGTCTTGCAGTTAATGTTTTTATACTGAAGCTCTTTGTTCATGTCACGTCACCTCTGTTGTCCCTGTCTCAGTCAATCAATCACTTGGGTCTCCCTACACCTGGGTGCAATCCTATTGACTTTATTGAGGCTGTACTGGGGCTGCAATTGGACTTATTCCATTTCACGCTGGATGCTTAAAATCCTAGGGCTTTTTTGTGGTTAAAAAACCAGGTTCCTTCCTAATAAATGCTGATAACTTGCAGTACCTCCTGCACAATGAGAGCATATGAAGTTAACACTTCAAAACCTTTATAGTCTGTAAATGGCATTCCTGTTTATAACAAGATAGATGGGAACAGTAGGATCCTTATCAAATTTTAAGGGTGCCTGTTAGGGAAAAGCAGCAGCTGAGTCCTGACACTGGGAAAGCCTTTTTCCCCCCAATTCCAAGCCATTATACACAAGGATTTCTCTTAATATATGAAGCACAGTGTATTTTAGAGCCTTAAGGCAAATTTTTTTGAAGATGTTAATTAACTAGGAAAATGGGATACACCCTCCACTGCCTCTTTCATTGTGAATTGCTTCAAATAGGGTGGCAAGAAGTCTCCTTCAGGTGTCCAACTGGCAAACACTGCAGTCAGATACAGAGCGAGTCAGATGTTTGAAACTACATTCTGCATTATTAGCTACTGAAAACTACTTTCCACAACACAGCTACTTTCCTGCAAGCATGTTCCTGCAGTAGGTGGAATGGAAAAACCTGGTCCATTTACTATCAGCTTAAGCACTTGAAAACTGTCTCTAATTAAATCTCCCTCTGCATGTCCCATCTGAGCACGCATGCTGGCCTGTTTCATAACTGCCACGTGATGCTACTGAGAGCAGCGATCGCTTCAGCAGCTGGCTTGTACTGTTACTGCTCTATCTGCTTGCTTGTACCGAAACCCCATCAGCTGCTCCAGAAATACATGCTGTGTTCATACTTCCTGGTCACTCACAAACGCTCTCTGGATTCGTATTTTGTAAATTTGCCAGAAAAAAGAGAACATTTGCCTGCAAATAAAGAGTCTCAGAAACTTCCTGTAGTTGGGAGTCTGTGACGCTGTGACACGGAGTAAAACAAGTCTCTTTTACCAAATCCAGTAACAGTTTGAGCAACTTTATTAATGATAACATTGAACATCTTGTTTAAAGTCTTTGCTGGCAATTAGCGAGACCAAAGAAAGGGACGGGGAGTGGATGCATGTATAAACCCATTTTCCGTAAAATAAATACATAAATGACCTTAAATGCAGAGAAGAGACATCTTTGGGGGCTCATGTACGCAATCTGTCTCCTCTGAGTCAAGAAACTGGTGTTTGGCTTGGAGTCCAGCTCCAAATTCTTCACCATAAACACTGGGCAATCACTCATCAAGCTTCCTGAAGGGACAAACCTCACTAATCCACACTGTAGCTCCCTCAAAGCAGCAAACACAGAGCTGGAAGGAGCAGGGGGAAACACTGATTGATTATTTTGGAGTGGCTCTGGATAAAAATGCTGAAGTGAGTCAGGTGCCTACCACCCACTGATTTTCTCTGCACTTAGCAGATGTCTACATCGCATGTGAAACTTGAGTTTGGCAAGTATTTTTGTAAATTTTGTATGTATGAAGTAATGAAGAAGGTGCACTAAGACTAAGCAAGTAATCAAAATAAAGAATAAAGTTACATTTTACCATAACTGTCTTTATTTTTGTTATTGGAGTTGTGCACTTTTTCATAAAAGGTATTGATCTAGCAAAAAACTCGAACATGAGTCAATGTCATTGAAGCTAGCAGGATTACTCGTGTGGTGACAATTAAGCACAAATGTGAACAACAGAGATTAGGTGCTACTGCATACAGTCAATTCATTTGTGATAGGTTTTTCCAATAATTCTAAACCAGTCTAAAATAGGCAAGACCACACTGTGTTTCCATGGTAAGTTGGCACATTTGGACCATAAGCACTTTTGACACTCTTTGCCTGGGGTCATGGTGAACACCACGGGCTTCAGAGGAGCTGGATTCTCATTGTCTGAGATCTGTTCCTCTTAGGAAATACAGATGCTTTTTTGCGATGAATAGAGTAGCAAATTTTCAGATTTTAGCCTTACAGTAACAGCTTCTAGGAGGAAGGTAGCAGTTGAATCAATATGGTTTTGATAATCTTAGAGAAAACTCATTTAAGAAAATCGTAAGGCATTATCCTGCAGTAGATCTGGTCAGTGATGACTGGATCTAATCTCAGTTTAGGTCTTAATGCAGTCAGTAGGATTCATTACAATGGATTAACATTTGTATAAAAGGCATACACAAGTCAAGTACAAGTATTGCTAAATTAATTCCCCATACAAAGTATACGAATAATGCACTGTAAACAACTGCTTCTCATAAGTGCTTCAGTTTCCAGGCTTTAATAGTTTCTTGTCATCTTTGGTTAATGCAAGATTTTTTCTGTCCTCAGGAGACCCACTACAACAGCTGAACTTTTACAGACCAAGTCCTTGCTCCATTACCTGATTCCATACACTGCGAAGGACAAATGTTTTGTTCACCAGATCAACGTGTAAACCAAAACAACCAAGTGAACTGTATTCTTCATGTTGCTAACATACAAAGATGTGCATATATATATAAGTGTACATATATACACCTCCACGTACGTGAACACTCCCCCCTCACTCTGCCCCAGGGAGCACCTAGGCCAACATGCATTTAGCATCTGCCATAAGGCCATCCAACAGGAACGCATGCCAACATCTGGGGGCTGTTTAAACACACAGACACATACAACTATGGATTTCTAAAGTGAGCACAAGAATTGTTTTGATCATGACTGAATATGGCCCCGTAGAAAGAAGGAAAGTCCCATGATGCTCCAATAAACAGAATCAGTTGCATGGGCACAATCCCTTCCCTTTGAACGTATCTGGTTCCTCCCCATGCTGCTGCAGCTGTGGTCTCAACATTTCTGCCTTAAGCATCAGGATCTGTTTCATTACGTGGCAGTGTAGTCTGGAAATCCACTGGCTAGTCTCAAAAGCTAAACCAGTTTCTCATGCAAAGAAGGTCACTTAAATCCACTGTCTGTCTGCAGGTTTGAAATCTAGTCCAAAATATCCAAAAACTGAATTCTATTACAAATTGCTCTAAATATTAGTGAAAGATTCAAGGGGGATCTAGAGAACAGTGGAGGGTGTGTATATAATTGTGTAAGAAAATTAATTAATAGGTCTTTCCGCATCACAGAGAATGTTCTTCAGTAAAATTCTCACTAGTACCACATTAAAGCTGTTAATAAATTATGTAAGTTAGATGCCCAGTGCATCATCTAAATTCATCTGTTTGCCAGGGCAGGACTTCCCCTGACTATATTCTGTAGTGTTTTGTTTATTTATAAATGTCTCTATGAACTCCATAGGGAGACTATTTCACAGGTTCACGGCTAGAAAGCTTTTCTGGATTACACTTGGCTCTGTTCCCCCTACTTACCTTATTTTCATTTCTAGCTATCACCTGTAACTTCTGTTACCACAACTGGTAGGATTTGGCTTTTTTTCTATTTTTTTTTCCTATCTGTAAAGGGGAGGGATGAACAAGCGTGAGGAACAGTGTACTTGTGCTACAGCAAGGATCTGGTTCTCAATAGTAACACTTCATGCCATTTCATGGGTGCAACCATCACAAAGTAATAGCCATTTTCTCACGGTGGACTTATCTAATTTGTGGCTTGGCAGAAAATTTCATAGTTCAGTCCTTAAAGCAAAGAACTGAACTTTAGGCATGCATCAAAACTGGTTTTATTCTGTAAAGTTGCTGAGCAAGCACTGCTCTCATGGACTTCATCAGGAGAGCCAGGCCATCTATAAGTAGTTACATACGGATTCTGCAATCCATTTTAACCTTTTAATACTGGCACTTTTCACCAGCGTCCTTTACCTTCTCTACAGTCAATCGAAAAACGAAACACTTGGCCTTGTTCCAGACATGAGCTCCAGATGTATTCCCTCGATGAGCAGCCACAGTTACCTTGTGGTATTTTTAATACCCTGTGGAGTCCTGGCAGCACCCTAAACCCCTTCTGAGACTTGGAGAAACTGCACACCTCATCTACACAGCTCCCTGGAACTCATCCCGAACTCGGCCTGACCTCTGTTTGACCACCAGCTCCATCTGACCTGGAGGACAACACTAGGACTGTCCTGGGGCCTTGGCTGATCTGGGTGTCACGCACCAGGGTTACACGGACAGATGGGACACGCGGAGAGGGCTGGGCCTTTCACAGCATGCCAGGATCCATTGCCAGCACCCATCCCAGGGGGATTTTTATCCATACAGAGTAGCCCGGTACCCTTTCTAAAGCAGGCCAGCTGGGCTGCCCAAACTCACCCCTGACAGTTCTCCAGCAGGTGAGTGAGGTGGCAGTAACTCAGGCACACTGGTAGCCAGTGAGTCTAGTATCAGTGTTGTCTAGAGTGCTAGTAGACAATAAATATTCCACCCTTTGCCAAGTCCTACAGAGTCCTGAAGACACAGGATGAAGGTACATCACCACTGGATCAATAAAACTATACTTTGGACCAGCCAGTCTCTCTTTAACTTTCTCTAAAACATCTCAATACAAAACAAGCCATAATCTATAATAAACAGAAAAAAATAGGACAGACTCTCTCACAAAAAATTACACGTTCACAAAGTAATTACATCATTGCCTTGTTAATCACTGAATCTGTGTTTATAATTTGGTCAGATCATCTTGTAACCAGTCTGTAATCATGGCAGCCATCTCCTTGCTGGCATCTAGCACAAAGGCGTGGCGGAGCCCCTTCTCGCAAAGTCGAATGTCCCCATCTGGAAAATCCATTTTGATCTCATCATAGTAGTGCTGTGGACACCAGCTGTCTCCAGTTCCGTAGTAAAAAGTCAGCTAGAAATCAAAGCATACCAAATCATTAATTTGAGAAGTTACAGTTGAAGCAACCAATATGCAAACAAAAAGCACTGAATTATTTGGAAGCAAGCGATGCTTCATGACCCACGATGTACTGTGAAGAACAGCAAATTGGTACTACTTGGTTGTTTCCAAGTCTGTAATGATGATGAAGCCAATTAAATGCTCTGTGACTCAGTTTCCTCACCTGTAAAACTGGAACACAATTTAGGCTTAACTCTGAAAACAGAGATCTGCTGATGAAAGTCTGATCTTATTATGGATCAAAACATCTTCTTATCCATGGAGTCCACCCCTAATCAGGCAAGCTACTGTGTTTTCCCTAGCTATTATGTTACCTTTCTAGCTATTTAATCAAATAGCAAAATTACCAGTAAACTTGGTGCTATGTCCCAGATGAAGAGGCTAAGAGAAAGAGAAACTAAGAGAAAGTAGGAGATTATTCCACATTTGTGAGTAGTCCAGTCTTCCTGGTATCTGTTAGATGTGATCTCAAAACACCTGCCCAGTTGGGGCCTTAGCTGGCGGAGCACTGATTTTTCTTAACCTCGGTGTTAGAAGCAAACCAGAGGTGATTCATCAGCCATGTTAGAGTAACAGCAATTATGGTCATTCTCAGAAGCAAAACTTTTTTTGCTTCAAGACTGTTATAATAATAGAATCCTAGAATCATAGAATAGTTTGAGTTGAAAGGGCCCTTTAAAAATAATCTAGTTCAACCCACCTGCAGTGAGCCTGGACATCTTCAACTAGATCAGGCTGCCCAGAGCCCTATCCAGCCTGATCTTGTATGTTTCCAGGGATGAGGCATCTACCACCTCTCTGAGCAACCTGTTCCAGTGTTTCACCGCCCTCACTGTAAACCATGTATTCCTTGTATCTAGTCTAAATCTACCCTCTTTCAGTTTAAAACCATTATCCTCTGTCCTGTCACAACAAGTCCTACTAAAAAGTTTGTCCCCATCTTTCCTATAGTCCCCCTGTATGTAGTGGAAGGCCACAGTAAAGTTTCCCCAGAGCCCTCTCCTCTCCAGGCTGAACAAACCCAACTCTCCATCTTATGTTTGTGAAGTGATGCCCATGTAGAGCACAGGCACCTCCTGGAGATCAATGAGCAATTTAATTTTGGGTTGTAATGTGGAATTAAAATCCTACCAAGGTCCATTTTGTCTTGATCTTGTCCAAATAATCTTGTTCACTGACATACATGAAACAACTGCCGTAAGGCCCACCTAAACACAAAAGTAATAAAATCTAGGCAAATATCATATCGGGGGGCTGAAACTAGATGGTCTTTAAGGTCCTTTTCAACCCAGGCCATTCTATGATTCTATGATATTAAATTAAGTGTATTTTCTCTCTGTTAGAAACACTGAAGTCTCTCTTTCCCAAGTCATCATCTCCCCTCATTTTTATCTCAACTTTGCATGCTGTAGCTATGTATTTCAATTTCTGTAAACTATTTGAAGGGAGAGTGGTTGTCTGGGAGGAGTAAAAACCTATGGATTTAAAACTATACAGGGACAAGATTAATGACAAGGACTCTTTATACTAAAATGTTTGAATGCAGGTACCAGAAGGATGTTGATTGCTCAACATATCACACACACAGTCTGGCCCAATTCCATTACTCTCATTTGTTTCGTACTTAATTTCTGTACTTCAGTGAATAACTGAGCAATGCTAAAATAAATTAGGGGACAAGAAGGTTTCCTTTCATCACAAAAATCTTCAGTTCCATAATTTTTGTAGCCATGTGGAATATAAGTAAATGCACCCACTGAGGCAGAGGTGGGCTAAGAGCCCAGACTGCATTTCAAAAAATGTTACAAGTTTTTGTCTAACTTGTTTTTCTCTTGTTGAAGCGTACCCAAATCTTGGTCATTACTGACTATTGGCTGTATCTAGAATATAATATCTCAGTTGCACAGACACCAACCCAAGTTATACTTCTATGTATATGCAAAATGCAGAATATAAACCATCACATGTTAACAAACATTATTGGTTTCCTTTGTCACTCACTAGTTGTTGGAAATAAGGTATGTCATTTACTTTAGCAGAAACTTTCCTTTGATCTTGCCTTCGATTCATAAATCATAAGACGTCACACTAGCAAAAATTCTTCAAAAAAGCCAACGTAAAATGGCCAGCTGCATTCAGGTCTTTTGAAAGCCAAACATCTGACCAAATTGTGTTTAACCTTGGGCTCCATTACCAACAGATACGAAAATAAAGATTATGAAACTGAGAAAAAAAGAAATGGAGCAACTCCAGTTTAATGAAGTAGTCCTTGAAATTGTTAGATATTTTGATAGGCTAGTCATAGAGTCTGATCACATGATCATTTAGAAAAAGATGAAAAGTCATTTACACTTACAGAGGTGGATAAAATACTTGGCTTAGTCTGCACGAACTGCAAAATGGGCTGTCCTCCAGGTAGGGTTGTAAACTTGAGAACTCACAGATTTGGAAATGGCTAAACAAGAGATTTATGTGCATTCTTAGCTTGCCTCTGGTACATTCGCAATATGGTTTAATCTTTCATTGCATGATCCAAAGGATCCTTGACTCATTCAATCCACTGACAGGATGATGTCCAGCTGATGAGCTGCTGTTTGATAGTATTTTTCATTTGAAATTCTGTGTGTGGTCTAAGGCTTTCTTTACTGCATATTTCATGGTTTACAGAGAGAATTTATTTGCTTATGTGCATTCCTCTGGCATGCACCATTACAGGTTTTGCATGCTCACATTTATTAATTTAGTTTTGCAACACCTTAGTGGCCATTTTTATATCTATTTTGTGGATGGGGAACACAGAAATTAATGTCAAACTACATACATTAATTTGAAAGTATGTAGTACAGTCTGAAACACCTAGAGCTGGCTTTCCAGTGTGCGTAGCATTACACAGTATTGACTATGCTCAAAAGATAGCACTCTTGGACTTCATTTGTGGGTGTTCTGGAACACTGTCTGTAAAACAGATTTCAGGGTCTTAAATAAGATACTCAGAAAAGTGAGGATAAACTGTGGCCATCTATGAAAAATATTAACAACTTCACCAACAGCCCATTCTTGGATGTGAAGTTTAGGTGTCTTTACATGAAGATATCCATTTTTACTTCACATAGTTCCCTGTTTCTTTCAACAGGCATTTTACCCCTTCTGCTACAGACGAGGTAGGAGTTCTGCATCCTGCTGTCTCCTTCATTACACACCCTTTTTGGTTAATGGAAGAGGAAAAAGGAAAAGTGATGTTTTAATGAAAGACCACCTCTTAATGCACACATAAAAGTCACCTGAATTAAGCCTGGTGCTCCTTAACTTTGACATGCTTGTAAAGCAGTATCAACTGCTTTTAGCAGAGCTTGTGTATACACTCTGTTAGACTTCAAGAAGGTAAACCAAAGACCAGGTATTTCACATGTGGAACCTACATGCATTGGGAACAGTGTTAGCACCTCTAGATGTGCTGTTTCAGGTCTCTGTCGCTTAAGGTCATGGTGTAATTGAAAGCAGCACTGTCAGCTTCTGACCAGAGGAACACAGGCCAGCTGCCTGCTGGGTGTCCCCCTAGGAGTGTCCAGCCCAGACATTGGTGATTTAGTTTGGAACTATTGTGTGTTTTTGAAGCAAATGTAATGTTTGTCCAGATTTACTATGCTTTGGTTCACATCGTGGAGTAGTCTCGGAGTGTACAAACTCCTTTCAACTGAAATTAAGGCAAAGATGCTCCTCAGGATCACACTTGGTGAGCTCCAGTCACTAATGGACATTCAGTCCATAGGACCAGAAAACTGTTGCCTAAAGTAATAACCCTCTCAGATGCTTACATGGGGAACATCAGGTCCTCACCACTTACTATCTACATCTACAAATTCTTTTCTATTGTGCTGCTCCTGTTTTTTAAGGCAAACATAGCCAAAGGCACCTGCTGAGAAGAGGAACAACAAGATTTTGGAAATCTAGGTTCCATTCCAAGCAGAAAAGGGCAGAATATTTACCAACCACTGATGTTGCTGTCCAGTAATTTGTCCAGTCTTTCTAAGTATGACTTCTTCTGTCTTGTCCCTTTGCGGTCTCAGGAATACCCTACACCCCTTTGGCTTCTTGTTCCAGCTCTATTCTCCTTACCCAGTCACTGCTAATTTCCACTACTTCTGCTTCTTATTCTGTTCTTATGGTTTTGACACAAAACACAGCCTTTTACTAGCTACTATGAAGGAAGTTAACTCTGTCCCAGCCAAAACCAGGCTATCTGTTCTGCTTCTAGGCCCACATTCTTGCCCTGCCAAGTCCAAATTTTAGTCTTCTCATTTGACCATCCCATTCTGAGTCTCAACTACAACCCTAGTTGCTTTTCCCCCCCAGCAATTCTCCACTGTTTTATCAGTCCCCCATCTCTACTCCTCAAGTATCTCTCAAACTGTCAGTTGTTTCTAGTGTCAGGGTTGGGTTCAGTTCAGCATAAAAACATCTAAATAGAGGGAACTGTATTGTGCTGCTTACATGTGCACCAGGCATCCAAATTCCCACCACACAGTCAGGAAAGATATACTCAGTAAAGCCACTGGTGCTTAGAAAGCTATTAGAAAGCTGAAACAGCTGTTGGCTGCTGGAAGGTGGGTGAAGCTGCACTTCAGGCTCCATTAAGAACTCAGTTGCCTAAGTGTAGGTACCAACTGCCATTTGAGATGCTCTAGATATCCGAGGCATCTGCCTGAGACTGGCAGGTATGGCAGATTTTATAGGAGACCCACAACTTCCTACCAAAACAGCTGGAGGCCAGATCGGGATGTTCCACAGTGTCCAAAATTAAGCCAGATGTCCATGTTTAAGTGCCAAATTCCACCTTGACTTCTTCAGTAGATTTCTATTGACTCTAATGGGGTCATCTGCAACTCTAATGCCTACTGCACCTCTAGATTCCTACAAGTAAACTCACAAAGTATGATCCAGGTGCCCATACA